CGTTTATTTAGACGCAAAACATCTTTCAGACGCGCATTTTAACTTTACCTCGGCGCCAGGCGTTAGTCAAATGAGCGCAGAAAAACTACAATTGATGAAAGAGTTTCAGTAGAACAACAGTGAACTGCGGACTGATGAAATGTTGTCAGGCCATATGACAGTAAAAAACAATTTTCCTGTTCTGTCAGATGTTATGCTGTGCTAGTTGAGATTGAGATAGCTCTCAATTATACTGTAATGTTGAATGGCTATAGTCAAAGGTTAAATATTAGGGGGGGGGAAATATTTCATAGAGACATCAGTATCAGTGATACACGCCTTCAGTCATAAAAAAGATGCCATTAAACAAATATTAAAAATATACTGTCTTTGTTGTCTCTACATTAATTTGAAGACTGAATGTGAAATTATTGCAATATAAAAGTATATTTTAAAACTTTAATGTTAGGTGGGATTAATCGTGATTAATTTCAGAAAAATGTGTGATTAGTTAGTTACATTTTTTAATTGATTGTCAGCATTAAAATTAATCAAAACTCCATGGGCATTTTTATAACGAATGTACATTTTTCAAGTAATGCCAAGCTCTAAAATATTTCATCAGGTAGAAATCACAAAAAAACTGGAAAAACCATGAGGCGTTTGAATATTGTTGTGGACAGTGGGGGCCCTTGGAGTCAAAAACCACTACTTGAAAGGCAGCCTGATTTGAAGATGGACTCAATTCACCCACCTCAGTCCATTCATTGTTCTGTGCATCATAGGACTCGACACTGTTTAAGTAGGTCTGACCGTCATATCCTCCGACCGCATATAGCCTGTCTCCCAGCAGACACACCCCCACTGCATCCCGGGGGACGCTCAGAGAGGACACTGTGGTCCATGTGTCTGTTTTGGGGTCATACCTGTAAATGCAGTACAGAATGTATGAGACCCAGTACAACACAGTATAAACCTGTGCTAGCACTTTCAATACAAGAGATAATTGCATAGAGAGGTTAAACAGCAGCCAGTCTGTAATCTAGATGATGGAAGCCTTTGAAAGCACATGGACTATGATTAACATCCCTAACAATGAAATCCATTGTGCTTTCAGCATGCAGAGTAGTAACAGAGTAATGAGTTGAAGTTTCTGATGGCCGTTGTTCGTTAATTAGGATGTATTTGTGTTCTTTATGTACTTATTTCAGTTATTATTATC